GCCGCACATCTGCTCTCCCGGAGTCCCCTAGGATGAGTGGTGCGACTCAGCTGGAGAGGCTGCTTCTTGGGGATTCCTTTTTTTTCAGGTTTAGTTTATCCGTGAGCTAATTCCAGTAAATTATCGGTAATGATTCCACCTCTTATGGGTCATACGACTTTACCAAGGCTATGCGGCCCACCTGACAAAATTGTTCTGTTTTGCCCTGAAGGTTTTCCCCCTTGCTGTGTTTCATTGGGTGTGTAACGCCGAAAGGCTGAACGGGCGCTACCCCAGACCCAAGCAAACCCCAGATCTCAAGATTGCTTCTGACTGAGTAGAAGTGAGCAAACAGATTTCTCGACACCAGTTCAGCCGTCCTCGATTTCTCCTGTGACCCGACTCACAGTCGAGCACTTACTGGGTGACGTGTTACGGTGAGACTGTCAGAATAGAAGCAGGCTAAGAAATCTAATCCTCAGGGGAGAGCAATATGTTCCCACTTGTGATTTAGTCTCACAGTGAAGAGGTTGTCAAGGGGTTTGTGATCCTGGAGGCTGGTTCTGGGGGGAGCCTGCTTAGTGCACGCTGCCACTGGCCATCATCAGCTAAAGCTGCCTAACGATGTCAGCCGCAGTGGCCAGGGGCAGCCCCTCCTCTAAGGTAGCCATGAGAGTTAAATTGCTTCCAGAAATGAATCCATTAGGTGCTGATAGTGATTAGCGTAAGGTACCATAATGACTAAAAGTACTTCAAGTGTAATTCAGTCTGAAATGCCCGTCAGGTGAGAGGTGTGAGATACACCACGACTGAGCTGCAGGTGGCCGTGGCAGCAAATCTGGGCGCTGAACCTCACCGCTGTATGTGAGCAAATGCTCAAAACTCTCCCCCTTCCCACTGAAAATATCCTTAAATATTTATCGTTGAGGTAAAGGGAAATTTAGGGTCAAATTTCTAAATTAGTTAGAGTCACATTATTTAGATGCCCAAGGGTTTGTTTTGTTTGTTTTGGGTTTTTTTGTTGGTTTTTTGTGTTTGTTTTTTTTTTTTTTTAATTCTTTCAATCTTATGTTTCAAGTTCCATCCAAAAGTTAGGTCATGGTATAAGCTACAGGAAAATCAGTGTGTCACTTGCTACATGATAAAGGCTTGATTTGACTGTGACAAAGACTTGAGCTTATGGCTTGAGTGATTTAAAAAATCTTCCTTATACCATTAGCCATATGTTGAATTAGAGCAATAAGGAAGTTTTTAGGAATGCTTGTCACTATCTTAATGTGTCTGTAATGAAAAACAACAACAACAATATCTTCATCACTCCATGGAAACTAGCTTGGTTTTGCAGTGTTAGACAGCTGGGAAAGGAAGATTCTCTCCTGTAAAAGAAGGCGGCAAGTGAAATTCTATTGCTATTAAAAGTAATTAGTTTTAAAATGTTTGACAAATTTTTAAGTTAATCATGTAGTGGATTTGATTATTAGTTTCTGCAAAACTTATGTGACAGTTGAAAAAAAATCCTCTTGTTTTTCAAGCATTCCCAGTAAGGCTCAGAGACGTTATCTGAGACTCTTTACGTCATCCCGTCAGCAAAGTGGCAACTTCCCCACACGTTGTTAAATGCACTTATTTATAGACACTACTCACTTTCTTTAGTGATTTATTCTTCTTTGCAACCAACCGTAGTGACTGCAATCCCTGTATGTTGTTCAGGCATTTTTCCTCAAAGAGGCTGAATAAAATGACACAAATCCTGCTGGGCCGCCGATACCATCAAAATGTCAGCCGTTAAGAAACCTCCCGTGGTTTCGGCAAACCGTGTTTGTCAAGCAAAGTGATTAAAGTCAGATTTTGGAAGTTCTGCTCCTATAACTCTAACTGATCTGCATCTACCCTAATACACTGCAAGGGTGTGCCTGAAATGAAATTAAGGCCATCTACTCAGTCTTTCCCAAAGCATGCATGCAATAGCAATCTACTGCTGGAGCCAGGTTCATAGCTTCTTGACAGAAGTGCTTGTTAACCCTGAATCTGATGATGACGAGAATAACAGCATGACTAGAAAAACACCAAGGAAAATAATACTGAATATCAGATGGGCTGACATAGGTTGCAAACAGTAAACAAAAGGGGAAATTATAATGCAGTAGTTACCCGTTCACAAACAATGATGTTTGCACCATATGTAAACAAGTCTATTTTCACACATGGAAACAAGGTATATACAATTGCAAAGAAGAAAGTTTATTTAATAAAATTGTTGAGAAGTAGTGGTTTGGTAAAAATATCCGTGTCGCCCAAACTTATCATCAGGTGACTGAGTAGGCTGGAAAGAGTCTTGGAGGGAGCAGCAGTGAACGCTCCACTACTAAATGAAAATTATTCGGGAAATGTTGCTGCATGTTTCCTTTTCCACTTCATTTTTCTATTGGTTTATCTACCCATAGCTAGTTTAACGTCACTATTTTTTGTTACTTAATTTTGAACTATACTTTATTTGCATATTTGATTTTGTAGACGTGCAAAAAGGGCACCCATACCAGAAATGAACTATTTTACAAAACAGATCTGCAGTAGACAGAAGTTCTGATGCTTGCTCTGAACAATCCACATGCCCGTGCAAGAATAAATTTTAAAGCGCACATCGGTTTTGGACCCACGGTTGTGCCCATAGACCACAGAACCGTACATACAAAATCCCCATCCGACGTGCAATGTGTGGTGTTAGCCATCTGGTAACTGCAGAAGTAAAACTGGAATTTCACTTTGGATGCCTGGCAGCTGGGGACAACCGAGCCCATTGCTTTCACGCAGATTTGCTATGCGTGATGAAGTAATAATCACTAAATGTTTAATAAATAACAGAGCTATATAAAATACATGCTGAATTAATATTTTATGTTGTACAACTTGCTGTAATACTCGTTCACTTTCAATCCAGAACGTCCTAAACCATACCAGAAACTAGGGCCTTTGTATGGGTGACTGGGACAGAATTTCTCGCCGGGGCAATCCCGCCCTAAGGCACCACGCCAGCTGTACGCCAGGTGAAGGCATGGCGGGCCAGGAGGCTCGACGCGAGCCGCAAAAAAGTTCAAGACCTCAGAGTAACGCAGCAAAGGCCCTCCCCCCCCACCACCACTCCAGTGCCGAGAGCCGCGCTTCAGCGCGGACGCGTCCCGTAATCCCCCTCCCCATAAACACCTCTATTTATAGCGCTGAAAATGTTGTAATGGCCTCGTCCCCCATCCCGAAAGACGAGGCCTGCTGGCTGTCACGGCTCAACCCCCTGCCCCTTCGCTGACAAATGCGGCTGAGAACCAGAGCCCCCCTTCGGCCCCGGCGACGGGCAGCCATTCCCCGGGCGCGGGACGGCGAGGGCCTGGCCGGGCTGTGTGGGCCCTGCAGCAGAAATCCCCAAATAATTCCGATTTACTGCCCATTTATTTCCTTCGATCTGTTCGCATCTCTCACTTAGTTATTTTTTTGCCTTTTTTAAAACCAACATGACACAAGTTATTTGGGACAGCCTTTAAAATACCGAAGCGAGCTGGAGTTTCAACAGACTTCCAGAGCGACCATCTCGGAACGCTCCCCAAGTTTTTCACGTATTTTTCACACGACCCTCTGTCATTATATCCAATTTCCGTGTTTCAAGAGCTGAAAACCAAGCAGCAGTCAGGTATTGTGGCATTTTCTCCACATAAGTTGCCCCCTGGGCATTCTGTTGCGTTATTTTGCTGGCATTCCACTCCATGAGTGAGGTGGCGGGGACGTGGCGGCCCGGGCCCGGGCAGTTCAGGGAGGGGACGATTCGCTAGAGGGGCCTCAGCCCTTGGGTGCCGACGGGTGTTACAAAGCGGCAGCGCTTCGGCCAGGATTTTATTTTTAGATATTAGCCCTGATATGACGGCAGGGGACGCCTGTCAACGGGGCACCGGCCGGGGGCCGCCGGCGGGGCCTGCCGCACCCCGCCCGCCCTGCGCCGCGGAGGACGCCCTGCCCTGCACAAAGATGGCCGCTCGCGGCGGGAACGCCGCTCCTCGG